TCAATGCCAGACATTGCAGCCCTCCTCATTGTCAATGCCAGACATTGCAGCCCTCCTCATTGTCAATGCCAGACATTGCAGCCCTCCTCATTGTCAATGCCAGACATTGCAGCCCTCCTCATTGTCAATGCCAGACATTGCAGCCCTCCTCATTGTCAATGCCAGACATTGCAGCCCTCCTCATTGTCAATGCCAGACATTGCAGCCCTCCTCATTGTCAATGCCAGACATTGCAGCCCTCCTCATTGTCAATGCCAGACATTGCAGCCCTCCTCATTGTCAATGCCAGACATTGCAGCCCTCCTCATTGTCAATGCCAGACATTGCAGCCCTCCTCATTGTCAATGCCAGACATTGCAGCCCTCCTCATTATCAATGCCAGACATTTCAGCCCTCGTTCATTGTCAATGCCAGACATTGCAGCCCTCCTCATTGTTAATGCCAGACATTGCAGCCCTCCTCATTGTCAATGCCAGACATTCCAGCCCTCCTCATTGTCAATGCCAGACATTGCAGCCCTCCTCATTATCAATGCCAGACATTGTAGCCCTCCTCATTATCAATGCCAGACATTGCAGCCCTCCTCATTGTTAATACCAGACATTGCAGCCCTCCTCATTGCCAATGCCAGACATTGCAGCCCTCCTCATTGTCAATGCCAGAGTTGGTTTACACTTTATCTCTTTCCCAAGTGTGTGTTGCTGGAGAAACATGCAATAAATTGAACCTTGAGATCATCAACCGGCCCCTATCATCTCAAATTATTGTATAATAGTGATAATGACACGTTTAACTGACATACTTAATTACTAAAGACCTTTACTGAAACACAGCTAAAAGTTCCTTTAATGTAAATCGCTTACCTGTAGACACCTGTTGTCTCTCCTGCAGAGGTCCAAGGCAACGAAGACTGCCAGTGTCAGGGAACCGGTTACCATAGAGATACCAATACCTGTTGATTGATTAGTAACCGATACAACATATCACTAAAGTTTTCTACAGGTTTTAATTATTCTGTTATTTAAATGCCAATAACTGCAAATTCATTTACATTTAAGCATTTTTTCGAACTTCCGTGAGAATTGTCACACTGCAAGAACCTTGACCTAGCATTGCAATTATAGCATACAGTGATCTATTATTTAGCGCTACACACAATATCTCTATTTTAGAGCACCGCTGCAATTACCACGTTTTAAGAGATATACAAACCACTCCTTTTCATGACTTATACAGACAACTAAGACTACAATATAAGTGAACCCTATCTAGTTTGACACCCGGCTGTGGGATCCAAGGATATACATGTATGTAAGAATACACAGTTTTCATTTGGTACTTTTTATAAGAATAATGAAATTCTTGAAACTCATATCTCCCGGTTTAAGGACATGTTTTAGATAAAGTGTTATTGTTGAGAGTTACTTTAAACATGATATGCTAGTATGGAGAATTAAGAGCAGACAGAACAGAAAAAGGTTTCATAGAAATAGGGCATGTTTTGATTTTGTGTCTTTGGGTGTCTTTAATTGAAATAGAAGGTTGAGATACATGATGTGGGGAAGTATTGTCAAATATAAAGACGTGGTATGTATAAGAAATAACTCACATGTGATAAGTCACTGTGGAAACTTTTCATTGGAGAATTTCTAGTACACTAAAATTTCGTTGGATACCATATATAGATTTGACCGCTTGATATCCTGAGCTTCCCTAGTCTGGGAATGAGACAAGGTGCAGTTATTTGTCCTCATTTATTTGATATCTTAAATGAATTACTGGAGTGAAATTTAGGGTCTCAGAAAACATTATTTTCCGTACGAAATATGTCTTAGATCATAATTAGGGAGAGTTATATTCTGTATAAGGATTGCTTCCTTTGCCCATATCATCAGCATACAAGGATCACATTGACCTGCTAACTTAGTCTTAAGCGTGTTACAATGTATGTGTATACCAAATTTTGTTTAAACAGGACCATTATTAGAACACTTATTGCACAGGTTTGGTTTGGTTTTATATTACGTTCTAATAACAGCTACGGTCATTTAAGGACGTGCCTCCATGTGTGTTGTGTAAGCGTGCATGTGTGTTTGTGTACCGTAGACAGGGTATGTTGGTGTACTTGCCTCCTTGTGATTGATCAAAGCTATCATAGTAAATATTTGATAGACACAAATATTACTGAAAATACGACAATATGTGTGGGAATAACAATAAGGTTAACACATCATGGAAGGATGGCGCAGAAAACCAACAAATCTACATATTACAAAACTCACAGAGACAACGTTAACCTTATACCTGTATGGTCCCTGTCTGGTGTCTGGTCCCTGTCTGGTGTCTGGTCCCTGTCTGGCCCCTGTCTGGTGTCTGGTCCCTGTCTGGTCCCTGTCTAGTGTCTGGTCCCTGTCCCTGTCCTGGTCCCTGTCTGGGGTCTTATCCCTGTCTGGTGTCTGATCCCTGTCTGGTGTCTGGTCCCTGTCTGGTGTCTGGTCCCTGTCTGGTCCCTGGACCCTGTCTGGTCCCTGAACCCTGTCTGGTCCCTGTCTACATGTATATATTACAAAACTCACAGAGACAACGTTAACCTTATACCTGTATGGTCCCTGTCTGGGGTCTGATCCCTGTCTGGTGTCTGGTCCCTGTCTGGTGTCTGATCCCTGTCTGTTGTCTGGTCCCTGTCTGGCCCCTGTCTGGTGTCTGGTCCCTGTCTGGTCCCTGTGTAGTGTCTGGTCCCTGTCTGTTGTCTGGTCCCTGTCTGGTGTCTGGTCCCTGTCTGGTCCCTGGCCCCTGTCTGGTCCCTGTCTGGTGTTTGGTCCCTGTCTGGTCCCTATCTGGTGTCTGGTCCCTGGCCCCTGTTTGGTCCCTGGCCCCTGTCTGGTCCCTGTCTGGTGTTTGGTCCCTGTCCTGGTGTATGGTCCCTGTCTGGTGTCTGGTCCCTGTCTGATGTCTGGTCCCTGTCTGGTGTCCGGTCCCTGTCTGGTCCCTGGCCCCTATCTGGTCCCTGTCTGGTGTAAGGTCCCTGTCTGGGGTCTGGTCCCTGTCTGGTGTCTGGTCCCTGTCTGGTCCCTGGCCCCTGTCTGGTCCCTGTCTGGTGTAAGGTCCCTGTCTGGTGTCTGGTCCCTGTCTGGTGTCTGGTCCCTGTCTGGTGTAAGGTCCCTGTCTGGTGTTTGGTCCCTGTCTGGTGTTTGGTCCCTGTCCTGGTGTCTGGTCCCTGGCCCCTGTCTGGTCCCTGTCTACATGTATATATTACAAAACACACAGAGACAAGGTTAACCTTACCTGTCTGGTCCCTGTCATCCTCGAGCTCGATATCCAGGGGTTACGCTCACTATCGCTCACTATCGCTCTCTGCTCTGAAAAGTGAGCGTTAGTGAGCGTAACCCCTGGATATCGAGGATGGGTCCCTGTTTGTTTGAGAGGTTTTACGTCAGCATCACTTTTCCCGCCAGCTTCCCAATTACGTTACATATTGGTGTTATATACAAGAGGTATCTAAAACAAATGTTACATTATTACCTGTGATATTCTACTAGTACATTTCAGAAATGGAAAAACAATTTGTTATCATACTGTTGTTATCGCGCCTCCAATTCCCCGCGAAAACACGCTGGCCTTTCTGCTTTGTCCCCAATGCTGCTTTGTCCCACAATGGTTTATAATGAGTCTGCTGAAAGCCCAAAAGGCCGTAAACAGTCAAAATCAAAAGTCAGGAATAAACAGAGAATAGTATGTACTTTTCAACGGTTTTATTCGTACTTGAGTCGATACATTAAAAGCATATAGAATCTACATGTAAAAAATTTCAATTTCTGGCACAAGAAAAATTTCTCAGGTATTAAAATAAAAATCGATTTTTTTATACCAGAAATACAGAAGTTTTGATATTTAAGTTTTTTAAAAATAAAAGTACAACGGCGCCAAATTGTCAGGTGAGAAAAGGCAGCTATAGGCCCTACCGCGGACTTCTGTACATGTAACTGTTCTATAGGCCCTACCGCGGACTTCTGTACATGTAACTGTTCTATAGGCCCTACCGCGGACTTCTGTACATGTAACTGTTCTATAGGCCCTACCGCGGACTTCTGTACATGTAACTGTTCTATAGGCCCTACCACGGACTTCTGTACATGTAACTATTCTATAGGCCCTACCGCGGAGTTCTGTACATGTAACTGTTATATAGGCCCTACCGCAGACTTCTGTACATAAACTGTTCTATAGGTCCTACCGCAGACTTCTGTACATGTAACTGTTCTATAGGCCCTACCGCAGACTTCTGTACATGTAACTGAGCTATAGGCCCTACCGCGGACTTCTGTACATGTAACTGAGCTATAGGCCCTACCATGGACTTCTGTACATGTAACTTTTCTGTAGGCCCTACCGCGGACTTCTGTACATGTAACTGTTCTATAGGCCCTACCGCGGACTTCTGTACATGTAACTGTTCTATAGGCCCTACCGCGGACTTCTGTACATGTAACTGTTCTATAAGCCCTACCGCGGACTTCCGTACATGTACATGTAACTGTTCTATAGGCCCTACCGCGGACTTCTGTACATGTAACTGTTCTATAAACCCTACCGCAGACTTCCACACATGTTACTGTTATATAGGCCCTACCGCAGACTTCTGTACATGTGACTGTTCTATAGGCCCTACCGCGGACTTCTGTACATGTAACTGTTCTATAGGCCCTACCGCGGACTTCTGTACATGTGACTGTTCTATAGGCCCTACCGCGGTCTTCTGTACATGTGACTGTTCTATAGGCCCTACCGCGGACTTCTGTACATGTAACTGTTATATAAGCCCTACCGCGGACTTCTGTACATGTAACTGAGCTATAGGCCCTACCGCGGACTTCTGTACATGTGACTGTTCTATAGGCACTTCTGTACATGTAATAATAACTGAGCTATAGGCCCTACCGCGGACTTCTGTACATGTAACTGAGCTATAGGCCCCACTGCTACACACATGCATGTGATGGGATAGTCTGATCACGTGTGCAGATCAAGCTGTACTTGTCAGATGTACTAACTAAGCGCCTATAGACAGGTTCTCAGGGGGTAGTCAGGACTTCGGGCAGTTCAGTCCATAATGCAGGTTCTCATGGGGTAGTCAGGACTTCGGGCAGTTCAGTCCATAATGCATTACGTTGTCATTGCATTGTTTCGATTGATTGGGCTGACTGATTAACTTGATGGAGGATTTAACATGTTCCTTATCCTGTCTCCCCTTAGAGCACAGGGGCATGTTGGGGGCACAGTGATAGTGTGATGGTTTAACCATGCCAGTGTCTGTTGGGTTGGAGGAGGTGCCTATGAGAAGCCGTGCCTTCATGTAGACAGATATAATCTGCAGTCACCGGGGGAAAATCGATATCTGACATTTACATGAGAAAATCTTTCTTCCCTTTTCATAAAATAGACACTGTAAATATATATATATATATATATGGAGTCGACCAGAAAGTGTATCGCGAATCGTCCCCGTATCTGATTCCAGTGATGGAACAACTCGAGGGGGAATAACAACCGAGAAGCTGTAAAACATGGCGTCATTCCTTGTCCTTGACAACTGCTAGGTGGCCCGGATGCGGAGGACATCGTTACGACTGGGTGTAATCGTCCTGGTAGTTTTACCAATCTACAAAGCTGCACAGAAGGACGAGGACCGTTACACACAGATATGTAAGTGTATTATACCATAGTAACGAGGACCTTTACACACAGATATGTACGTGTATTATACCATTGTAACGAGGACCGTTACACACAGATATGTAAGTATACGGGGACCGTTACACACAGATATGTAAGCACACAGATATGTACGTGTATTATCCCATTGTAACGAGGACCGTTACCCACAGATATGTAAGTGTATTATACCATTGTTACGTGGACCGTTACACACAGATATGTAAGTGTATTATACCATTGTTACGTAGACCGTTACACACAGATATGTAAGTGTATTATACCATAGTAACGGGGACCGGTACACACAGATATGTAAGTGTCCGGGGACCGTTACACACAGATATGTAAGTGTATTATACCGTAGTAACAAGGACCGTTACACATATATATGTAAGTGTATTATACCATAGTAACAAGGACCGTTACACACAGATATGTCAGTGTATTATACCATTTTAACGTGGTCCCTTACACACAGATATGTAAGTGGATTATACCGTAGTAACAAGGACAGTTACACATATATATGTAAGTGTATTATACCATTGTTACGTGGACCGTTACACACAGATATGTAAGTGTATAATACCATTGTTACGTAGACCGTTACACACAGATATGTCAGTGTATTATACCATAGTAACGTGGACCGTTACACACAGATATGTAAGTGGATTATACCATAGTAACAAGGACCGTTACACATAGATATGTAAGTGTCCGGGGACCGTTAACGTTACACACAGATATGTAAGTGTATTATACCATAGTACACAGGACCGTTACACATAGATATGTAAGTGTATTATACCAAGGACCGTTACACATAGATATGTAAGTGTCCGGGGACCGTTAACGTTACACACAGATATGTAAGTGTATTATACCATTGTAACAAGGACCGTTACACACAGATATGTAAGGGTATTATACCATAGTAACGTGGACCGTTACACACAGATATGTAAGTGTCCGGGGACCGTTACACTCAGATATGTAAGTGTATTATACCATAGTAAAGAGGACCGTCAAACACAGATATGTAAGTGTATTATACCATAGTAACAAGGACCGTTACACACGGATATGTAAGTGTATTATACCATAGTAACGAGGACCGTTACACACAGATATGTAAGTGTATTATACCATAGTAACGTGGACCGTTACACACAGATATGTAAGTGTATTATACCATAGTAACAAGGACCGTCAAACACAGATATTTTAGTGTATTATACCATAGTAACGTGGACCGTTACACACAGATATGTAAGTGTATTATACCATAGTAACGTGGACCGTTACACACAGATATGTAAGTGTATTATACCATAGTAACGAGGACCGTTACACACAGATATGTAAGTGTATTATACCATAGTAACGTGGACCGTTACACACAGATATGTAAGTGTATTATACCATAGTAACGTGGACCGTTACACACAGATATGTAAGTGTATTATACCATAGTAACGTGGACCGTTACACACAGATATGTAAGTGTATTATACCATAGTAACGTGGACCGTTACACACAGATATGTAAGTGTATTATACCATAGTAACGTGGACCGTTACACACAGATATGTAAGTGTATTATACCATAGTAACGTGGACCGTTACACATAGATATGTAAGTGTATTATACCATAGTAACGTGGGCCGTCAAACACAGATATGTAAGTGTATTATACCATTGTAACGGGGACCGTTATACACCGATATGTAAGTGTATTATACCATAGTAACGTGGACCGTTACACACAGATATGTAAGTGTATTATACCATAGTAACGTGGACCGTTACACACAGATATGTAAGTGTATTATACCATAGTAACGTGGACCGTTACACACAGATATGTAAGTGTATTATACCATAGTAACGAGGACCTTAACACACAGATATGTAAGTGTATTATACCATAGTAGCGAGGACCGTTACACACAGATATGTAAGTGTATTATACCATAGTACCAAGGACCGTTACACATAGATATGTAAGTGTGCGGGGGCCGTTAACGTTACACACAGATATGTAAGTGTATTATACCACAGTAACAAGGACCGTTACACATATATATGTAAGTGTATTATACCAAGGACCGTTACACATAGATATGTAAGTATATTATACCATTGTAACGAGGACCGTTACACACAGATATGTAAGTGTATTATACCACAGTAACAAGGACCGTTACACATATATATGTAAGTGTATTATAACAAGGATCGTTACACATAGATATGTAAATATATTATACCATTGTAACGAGGACCGTTACACACAGATATGTAAGTGTAGTATACCATAGTAACGGGGACCGTCAAACCCAGATATGTAAGTGTATTATACCACAGTAACGAGGACCGTCAAACACAGATATGTAAGGGTATTATACCATAGTAACGAGGAACGTTACACACAGGTATGTAAGTGTATTATACCATAGCAACGTGGACCGTTACTTACAGATATGTAAGTGTATAATACCATAGTAACAAGGACCGTTACACATATATAGGTAAGTGTATTATAACAAGGATCGCTACACATAGATATGTAAATATATTATTCCATTGTAACGAGGACCGTTACACACAGATATCGGGGACCGTTACACACAGATATGTAACTGTATTATACCACAGTAACAAGGACCGTTACACATATATAGGTAAGTGTATTATAACAAGGATCGCTACACATAGATATGTAAATATATTATACCATTGCAACGAGGACCGTTACACACAGATATATAAGTGTATTATACCATAGTAACAAGGACCGTTACACACAGATATATAAGTGTATTATACCATAGTAACAAGGACCGTTACACACAGATATATAAGTGTATTATACCATAGTAACTGTATTATACCACAGTAACAAGGACCGTTACACATATATAGGTAAGTGTATTATAACAAGGATCGCTACACATAGATATGTAAATATATTATTCCATTGTAACGAGGACCGTTACACACAGAAATGTAAGTGTATTATACCATAGTACCGTGGACCGTTACTTACAGATATGTAAGTGTACAGATATGTAAGTGTATTATACCATTGTACCGGTGACCGTTATACACCGATATGTAAGTGTATTATACCATTGTACCGGTGACCGTTATACACCGATATGTAAGTGTATTATACCATAGCAACGTGGACCGTTACTTACAGATATGTAAGTGTACAGATATGTAAGTGTATTATAACACTGTAACGGGGACCGTTATACACCGATATGTAAGTGTATTATACCATAGCAACGTGGACCGTTACTTACAGATATGTAAGTGTATTATACCAAGGACCGTTACACATAGATATGTAAGTATGTTATACCATTGTAACGAGGACCGGTACACACAGATATGTAAGTGTATTATCTCATAGTAACGAGGACCGTCAAACCCAGATATGTAAGTGTATTATACCACAGTAACAAGGACCGTTACACACAGGTATGTAAGTGTATTATACCATAGTAGCGAGGACCGTTACACACAGATATATAAGTGTATTATACCATAGTAACGTGCACCGTTACTTACAGATATGTAAGTGTATTATGCCATAGTAACGAGGACCGTTACACACATAAATGTAAGTGTATTATACCATAGTAATGAGGACCGTCAATCACAGATATGTAAGTGTATTATAACATAGTAACGTGGACCATTACTTACAGATATGTAAGTGTACAGATATGTAAGTGTATTATACCATAGTAACGTGGACCGTTACACACATATATGTAAGTGTAGTATACCATAGTAACGGGGACCGTCAAACACAGATATGTAAGTGTATTATACCATAGTAACGAGGACCGTTACACACTGATATGTAAGTGTATTATACCATAGTAACCAGGACCGTTACACACAGATATGTATATATGCTATACGTTTTATTGACACTCACACACAGAAGACACCAACGTTGAATTTATTGTGTAAACATTTTTCACTGATACATTTCCGTATATTTGGACCGTAACGGTACAGTAACTTTGCAATATATATATAATCCGGCACAGAAACTGGTCACATAGTAGTGCTGTTCAACGACGACATGATTGGCGGTTGTGTACACAGCATGCATGACCAACGTTGATTACGTGTTGTAGGCTAGTGTCGATTGGATGTCTTGTAATATATATTAACCCTTATAATAATTTTTTATAATAAAAAAAATATTTGATTAAAGAGTCACATATCCATTCACAATTTAAAGTTTCAAGCTAAAACAAAATTGATAGAATTAATATCCGGCCAAGTTGACCTATGAGACATTATTTCAACGTTACATACAGATTACTGTAAAAGCATAAATTTTAAGAAAACCACGAAATATAATCCCAACGAAATTTTAAGCACACGAAATAGAAACAAATCGAAAATATGAAATAAGCTATTACTTCATTACAAACCTTTCTATATTTACATTTAGACATGTCATGATACACGGTGTAATTATCGTCCCAGGCACAGAGTTAAGGAGGCTCCACCCTTTTGCAATTAGCCAGCAGAATTCAATGAAAGTTTCAAATAATGGTTATGTCACTATGTAGAGATGATTTTATGAAAATCTCAGCATTCCGATAAACTGGGGATGTTTTGGTAAAAAATACAAAAAAAAAAATGAATTATTGTCAAATTCAACACTTTCACATTTTTTGAGCGTGTTGTATTGTTTAAAACTATAACAACAATATAATAATGAAAAGAAACATTGCTAATCAACCCTACAAATATTTTATTTATCATGAAATATCTACAACAAATTACAAAAAGCGTTTTTTATTGAAATTGTATGGATAAAAGTTACTAAATACAAGCTAAAAGCAAACAAGACACATAGTTTCATTCAAAAAGAGTGAAAAATTGAACCAAATACATACAAAGTCTTTATAAATAATTTATTTTACATTTTACAATAATTTTGATCCT